GAGAGGTGGAGCGGTACTGTGAAAAAAGCCGTGAAAAGCGTGAGGTGTCCCCAGAATGAAGCTGCCAATCACCCAGGACTTGGAAGCCAAAAGAACTCCAGTGGTTCATTTTTGTTCTCAGTTGTTTTTCCATGACAGCCAAGGTCTTGGACCAATTCAGCTGGGAGTTGGTTCCCAAGTGCACATGCTTAAGACAGGGATCTTGAGTCTAAAGAACACATTATTTCTGAGGCTAGATGGTTCCTGGGATGATCTGAGATGTATGGGGTGGAGAGCACACACTCTTTCTATTTCTTGATACTTCGTCCTTGGCCTTCCTTCTGGGACGTTTTGGATGTGGCACAGGAGTATTGGTCACAACTTTCAATCTGGCTTCGATCTGACCATAGCTGTATTTGTGGGGAAAACTAAGCAAGTTGCCCAGAATTCTGCCTAAGACCGATTTCAAGCTAAATGACTTCTGTACAAGAGAGAGGCTGTATCGGTTGGTCTTAACAGTGTCACACTTGGGTTGTTCACAAGTGAAGAATGGTGTTCTTCATGTACACTCCCTGGAACTAACATGGAAGTGGATGGCCTGACCCCTTGGAAGACCATTTTCCTCTACAAACAGGTGGTTGTCCACTTCCATGTTATCCATTTGTTTTGTTGGTCATGTGCCAACTGGATCAGGTCAACTTACAAGCCCTGCCTGGTCATCGAGGCCATAGGAGCTCCTTGGGCCGCAGGATGCCGTAGGCAGCACCAGATGAGGATATATTTATATATTGTTCTACAATATAAGTATTAGGTGAGTAGTGCTTTGAGATTGTTTGGGACAAGCTTTTTTTTTGTTGGGACCGCTGCTTATGCTTGGCTCCATGAAAAGGTGTGATGTCACATGTTCAGACTCCCTAAGGTTGGCCTCTTGGCCTCAATGATGTCCTAGTCTTACACATCAGAGATTAATACTATAGATGTATTCTTCCCACAAGAGAACTGCTAGTTTCTTTAGAACTTTAGAAGTCTTTTCCTTTCTTTGCCGGTTCCCAAGATAGATTGCACTTACAGAGCTTTGCCTATGTATGGAGTCCCGATGAGAGCTGAACGGCATGAACCACTCCATTCACGCAAAGCCTCCCTTGAGCAAGGGTGCAAAAAACACACAGCAACACGCGCTTTTGTTCCAAAGCAAACTCTGCAATATTTGCTGCTTCTTTCCTCAGTAAATCAATTATATATATATATATATTATAGCATCTCATCAATAACCCCTGGTGAATCAAACTGTCCCTCTCAATCTCCGTGTCGGTTCAACCAGGTTTACCCTTTGTGTGGATCACGGGTGTCCCAAAGTTGGCCTCATCAATACGGATCCGAAACAAAGCACATGCAGCACATTCTGGTCCAATCATCCCTCGTATCACCACAAAGTAGGTTTTAGGGCAGAGGGATGGCTATTGGAAATGGGGCACCTCCACTACCCCCTGGTAAATGGAAAGCGTGAACTAATATAACCCTTCATAAATAGAACACAAAACGAAAACCCTGAAGGCCCCACGTTGTGATTTGGTTGACTCAGATCCATATGACCATCGGAATACCGCATGGGAGGTCCAGGTGTTTATGGCTTCATCGTTGCGGGTCTTCATCCGTGAGGGTGCGCAGCCGTTGGATGCTTCGTCGGCCGTTGGATGCCTCGTTCGTGTGCTTTTTCTCGCTGAGGTGCTCGCTCGGTTTCTTTTTCTGGTCCTCTTTTATTTGAGACCTGCTGATGAGTGGCTTGGCTCGGTAGTTTTTTGATATGTTTTGCGCGACTTGACTCGGGTGTGGAGAATGGTGGATGTGCGCCGTTCGGTCCTCAAAAATCAGTGGCAATTGTTGATGCTACAGGGTCCAACTTTGAGGTATATGCTTTGATCCCGAGCTCAGAAGCCATTTTGGTCCCATGAACATGGGCCGTGAATGAGCGAAACATGTCTTCTTAGCCGGATCACTTCCACCTCCTGCCCTCGTTTCCTTCGGCCTTCGGTGCTTTTCCCCAGCCTTCCGGTTCTGGCTCCGCATTGGCGTCACCCGGTCACCCGGGGGACACCGGCCGAGCATCCGGAGTTGGTGAATGTCATATGGACCGGGGCAGTGCCAAAACAGTGAACAATTGAAACTGGCTGCTGAAACTGGGAGAGTCAAACATATATGTCAAAAGGGCGATACACTTGGGGAATTGGACTCAGCCAGGAATCCAATGGAGAATGACCAGTAGAATGACCATCCACTTTTTCGAAGTGGCTAGACTTCTATTCCGCTACGGGGGGGCTAGACTTTTGGAGAAATGCATGTGGTTTGTGGCGCTTATTTCGTTAAGCCCGCCTGTTGTTTGGGAGACGTTGGGATCCGCAACCGACCCGGCACCTTGGATCCAATCTTTTAAGGAGATGCTTCATGTTGAAAGTGCTCACCAAGTTGATCACCTGGGTCCTATTCCCCACGGCCCTCACGGTCGGCATCCTCGCTGGTCTTGAGAAGACGGAGGAGTGGGCGTGCGACTCGGGGGGTGGGTCGGAGGTGGTCGGAGACTGTCGGAGACTGCAGTAGATGCTAATTAGTGATGTGATGTCCGAAGTGGATTGGCGTTGCTGCTCAAAGGAAGAACGAAGTAAAACACGTGCGCGTGAGCGAAACGACGAGACTTGAAGTGGTGTAAAGCTTCCATTGGTCTACTGCCGAGTGAGTAGCGATAACATGTTCTAGAGAATTTCAGGGCTGGGCCTTGGGGCATTGACCTGGCGATGTAGTGAAGTTGGGGTCAAGAAAGTCAAGCCCACCCACCCACCCACCCACCCACCCACCCACACACTCTTACACACTGTCTACATATTTATACCTGGTAGCATGTTGGCAAGGGGAGAATATGGACATGGATCGGACCAAGGACCTGGATTTGCTTTCACCACAGAAAGCTTCCTCGGAGTTGAAGTGACCCGGATCTGCCTCATGTGTTGATTTTCCCATTTGTTTCCCCCCAAGACACCCGACAGCTTTAGATCCACGTAGGATCCCGTCGGACTCTCCTTGCTGATGGCCCTGGCCATTGCGGCGCGGAACGAGGGGACAGAGCTGCTGAGCCTCTTTCACGCCACCTTTATGCCACTTGGGACGGCAGGCTATGACCGCACAGGTGGAAGTGGGTGGAAGCGGAAGAGTGTTTGAATGGAAGGACCCTGGTCCACTGTGACTGTGCACCACTCGACCTGGTTCCCAGTCTCAGTGTGCCATCTCCTGTGCGTGAACCCACGTTACTTATTACTGACAGCCTTAGTATTCAGATGTGAACCCATCCCCCACATCTATCAAGCCGTTCAAGCCCAAGTTGAAGCCTTAAATACGCTTGTTGCATCTTCCCCACAGAGTACCTGGCCCAGTTTTTGGGATACTGTCCTAGCACGGGTTGCGAAGGACTGTCCACGATACGGGCTACCCGCTCGCTTTCACATGTTTACTTCTGTATCAACTTTTAACACAACCCCTCGAGACATTGACACAACCCCTCGAGACTTAAATGACCTCTGTTTACCAAGCATATCTTGCTTCAGACTGTTCTGGGAGTTTGGATCAGGCCACTTTCGCCCTTCCATTGTTCCCTGTGCCACGAGAAATCCGCGCAGAGCAAGTTGGGCGAATCTGGGCAAATTTGTTGCCAACATAGTGTCCCTTTCACTTTCGCGAAATGTCCATCTACCGTGAATACTGCCATGCAACCTTGGTTGCAGTCCCACTTCGGCGACAGTATTGCAAGTCCTGTAGCTCCCCCAGAACTGACCCTATTCGGACATGTCAGCTTCCAAATAGTGGCAGTGTCAGTCTTCGACATATCAATCTATGTCTATATATACCTTATCTATCCTTATCTCATGAATACATAAGAATCAACGGCCCATCCACCACTGCGAGATGCTTTCATAGCACCTTTGTGGTGGCGGCAATCATCGCCTGGATGGGCATCGAAGGCATGTTGGCCCTGCCAGGTACGGCGGGTGCGCCTGGGTGGAAGCGGTGGCTGGACCCAGGGAAGGGACGGTGTTGAAAGATGCAGGATGTGTAATGTGTACGAATTCCTCATATATAAAACAATGTTCAAGCATTATTTAAGATTTACAACATAGGTGTTGATTGTGGAGAGAGAATCAGATTGATTGCTTGTTTAAGTTTTTTTTTAAAGTCAATCTTTAGCAAGGGAGCACGCCTGGGAGTCCAGTGCTTCTGGTATTTCTAGTAATCCTCCCCTATGAATGAACCATTTTGCATCATCATGTTGCATGTCGTAGTTGGCCACAGCTTGACGTGACTCCAGTCTGGCTTGACAGCGCAGGTGGCCCCTGCTTGCTGCAATGCTTCCTGTCACGACCAGCCGTTTGCTGCTGTGATTCTCGAGTAGTCGATGAGTAAAATGATGTGAAAAGGCTGTTGCTGTGTAGACAACCTGTCTCAGCATTTCTGCAGATCTACCGAGTGGCTAGAAATGTGGCACTCTGAATCTGATAAATGTGTTCGCAAACACTTGTATTTTAATACATATCAGCATCTTAATAGACCTCAAATGTGTTGCTTTGATTTGCTTTGCATTCAAAACCTGTGAAAACTGCATTTGCATCTCCACCTGCCAAGACTGCTCAACCCGCTCCTTCAGACGGCGAGTGTCCAGACAGACGGCCGTGTCGAATCCAACCGGCCGTCCCGTCAGAATTTCCGCTGGAGCCATACAAAGAACAAGAGAGGTTTGTCGTAGGTTTAGATTGGCCAAAGGGCATTGTCTCCACATAAGGACTATTTGCCCGAACAAGTAGCAGCAATTTCATTGCAGGAACTGGAATAACATGAATGTCGCTTGGTATCAGAAAGCTCCCCTGATGGCCAATGCTTCACCGAACATGTCAGACTTCAGACCTCCGGTGAAAATGAAACAGATCCACCGTGATATCCTTACAACTCTGGAGTCCGCAAGTTCAAGACTGGATCCTTGTTGTGGCTTGATCCGTGAGTTTTGCAGCCATGGCCGCCACGACCAAAAGTGGCCACACCAGCAAAAGTGCTCAGACCTCCAAAAGCGCTGCCACCGCCCGGTCCGCCCGTTCCGGTGCTGGACCCGCTGGACCCGGTGCCCGCTACATGGTGCGGTCGCGGGCGCGGACCAGCACCATCGACGCCATGCAAATGCACGAGGCGGTGACGCCAGATCGGTGGTGCGTCACCAAGATGGATCTCAGGCACTTGCGATTGGAGGCGGATGGGGCCCGGCCGTGGCGGGACCCCGAACATCACCGGATCAAGACCATGGACCGGGGTGTTTTTTTGGGGTTCGGGACGTGGGGCGTGCAAAGAGCGTTTCGGGGGGGATGAGGGCTCATGGACGATAGAAAGGAAAGGAGAATCTGTGTTGCTATACATATTATCAAATACATAATATGGTGATTCTGATGTATGGGATGAGATACAAACACAAGTGCTGGGAGCCGTGCTGAAAAAAGGGGTCAGCCAGGTTGGGCGGGTTTGGGAGTTGGGAATTGACGACATTGGACATTGGATGACGGGAATTCATGAAGAGTGGCTACTTCGCAACTTGCCTGATGCAAAGTCTTCTACCATGATTGAAACAACAAACACTTCTTGATTCTTGACTTGGAAGGAGCCTCAAAGTTCTTTCAGTGTTTCAAACCACCACCTGAAACACATCTCTTCGCCACAGGTGTCGCTCGTCGCACAGGTCTGCCCTCCCTCGGCCCCAGCAGGTGCTTCGGTGGCTGCAAGACGGCGAGATTCAGTCCAATCCGGACACGGAAGACAGTGACTGCGGTGATCGTTCGGAAGATTGAGTTGTTGCTGTTCTATTCTCCAAGCCGATGTGGGGAATGATTATATTTATGATATATGAGCACTGGTTGTTGCATTCCTAGTTGAGAATCATCAATGATCCCAATGGATCTCCCCGATCTCGTTGTTTGAGTCATAGTGCAACGCATTTACCAGGTGACGATGAGGACAAGTATGGGCCCAGCATTTACAGTGTCAACGAGCAGTATATCAAGCCCGTGACCGCCGATGCGGGGAAGATGAGTTGGGCTTTGATGATGAACCCGGAGGGCTTAGACTGCGATCTATTTGTCAGTCATGCTTGGCAAGAAGGCGAAGCTGTGGTTTGGGTGGTTGAGGGATGTTGGGGGGGTTCAAGACTTTGCTGACATCAAACTAAACAACATTACTGCATGAACATGCAACATGCACATCAAGCTGCCAATGAAGAGACCCTGGATGGACACATGGCAAGGGCACCTGGGTGCCAGGCAACACCATGTGCTTCGGAGAGTTGTTGATGGCTCTCCTTGCTCATGGGGGAGCCGAAGGAAGAAGAGTAAGCCGAAGCAGACCAAAGATGCCAACCTTCACATACGTGCATTTGTTGACAGATGCTCATGTTTGCACGTGCATGTCTTTGACCATATTGTTTCTTTTTTCCCCTGCGGCCACGGACACCGGGTATACGGCCAGTGTAGCAGGACCCGTCGGTCAAGGTGCTGAATTGACCTACGTCGACGATCGTCGACACTCCTCCGGAATCGATGCCCAAAGCTTCGCAGGTCCGGCCACCCAACCAACCAGTCCGGAGACGTCATATTCGACCTGTGTAGGTTGGGTTTCAGTGAGGGGAGAGAGAAGTCATGTGCTCCCTGTCCTTAGTCAACTGAAGCCAAGAAGTGGGTGGCCTTGCGAGCAACCTGCACATTGCTCGACCCAAAGATGTGGCTCAGTGACCTGCCAGACAGTGGTGATGAAGGGAGCTCCCTCCTTTGTCCTGCATAACCTTGAGACACCTCAGTTTTGTGTATGTATATAGTATTTTATAGTTAAATATATGTACGATTGTGAAGGTAAGGGAGACACTAGGTGGCCACTCCCCCCAAGTGTGTGGTCGTCTCTTCTACTGCGCTTTTGACTCGAAACCCTTGCGCTTTTGACTCGATCTCACCTACGAAGCACGTCGGGACTGTGGCGTCCCATCCAGTCTCATCTGGTCCTATCCAGTCCGCAGGCATCTTCGAGTTCTTGTCCAAGGTCTTGGGATCTTGGCCTTTCTGGGTGCGCCATGCCTGGTGCTGCATGCTCGCGAATCCCCAACATCTCAACATCGGCGCCTCAGAGCGGGAAAAACCGTCCGAAGACGTGGAAGACTTCAGAGCCACGAACTTGCCTCCACCAGACTTGCCATGGATGCAGGGATACCAGTGGAAAAGGAGATGCACCCCTCATCACCGGGGAATAGAACCAAAGAATAATTGAATTGCATGTGTTCATGTCGTCATCCGGAATTGCTATAGATGTCGATTCCAATTACTACAGACATACAGTACAACCTAACTTTAGCTTCTTTTCACCAGTCACGACCATGGTCCTCAGAATTTTTTAAATATGTGTTGTTCTTTGGGAGGTCCAAACCCCTATCATCCGGTGCTCCAGTTAGCACAGCACGAGCATGTCTCCCTTCACCTAGCTGCTCCGGTGGACTCCGAAGGTTCCATGCTGCAATCGCCCAAGACTTCGCCCTTCGCCTTGGCCTTGGAAGCTTCACGCTTGGTCACCACGCTGAGATCGATCCGACGTGCAACCGAGCGTTCCGGGGGGATTCGGGGGGGGAACGGAGCGTGTTCCGTTTGAGACGGATGCGTTCGGAGTGATCGTGACAGAGACCAAGATTCCAAGTGGGTGGATTCTGTTGGTGGCGCTGTCACAATCGGATGCCAGCAGGGGGGTTCCAAGGGTTTCAGAGCAAAACGGAACTGGCTTTGGGACTTTTTGGTGCATGGGCCGTATCCCATTGGAGAGTGGGTCAACATATGTCAAAACCCAATGCTCAGAATCCTGATGATCAAAACCCAATATGTCAAACCCCGATGATCAAAATATGTCACGGACATTCATGGACCGTATCCTGATTATCAACGGCCACTTCGAAGTGGACAGTCTTACCGGCCAGTCCGACCAGTGATTCTGGTGATAATGCCGCCATGCTAGGTTCTGGTCGTATCCAACCGACGCAAGAGCGTCTACTGCCGGCTGTGGTGCGGTTGCTTGGTGCGGTGGCTGCACAAGCAGCTGGAGACCTCGCGAAAGCTAGTGAAATCCACAAGGGCTTGGAATACTCTCCGAATCCTGTAGATTAGACATCGTGTGGAATGGATTTCTTTGGTTCAAAATGGTTCAAAAAGACCGGAGAAAAGAAGAAAGCTATCAGGGTACAGAGTTTAGGTGCAGTGTCTTGAAAAGTCTAGGGTGAGGATGCAATAGGTGTAGGGTGCAAGATTTCAACAGGATGGATGTGCAGTTTGTATCAACAAGAGGACAACGACATATTCCACTATATAGATATGTTGGTGTAAATATGCTTTCTAAACTCAGTCTAAGTGCAAAAAGCTTTGTGGTTTGAGACCGCTTTGATGTTGTTCGGTCTTGTCATGTCTTGTTCTTCTCTTCCCCAACTTATATATATATAATATTATAGTATATATACCTATATTTATGTTGACTGGTTGTCGTTTACTGTTTTTCTTTTTCTGATCTCAGATCGGCGGAAAGCTGTCGGAGCCGTTCATGTCAAACACCGGCAGAGCTGTCCTGGTGCGTTGGCCTTTTTTTGCTGTTCACCAAGGGGTGTGAGTTGGTCTCAGCTGTCCTTTCAGGACCCAGCTTCACCTCCGAAGTGGGTACCCACCCGAATCGTGAGTCGTTTACTGATGGAGAAGAAACAGAAGAGACCTGGGAAGTTGACGGAATCGGATCTTACATGATATATCAATATAAGTATATAAGAATAATGTAAATTCGAGCGGACCCCCGCACGGCCCCCCTTCTCCAAGCCAAATTAGGGCCAAATTGGTGAGAACCTGTATCCTGGGGCCCCTAAATTAGGCTATTTGTTAGTTTTTCTCCAATTGCTTGAAGCCGCTCAACTACATTCATCTCTAATAAGGAGTGCTTGACTTTGATATCCCACAGCGCGTGTTTCACCGACTTTTCTTAAATTGGATGAATACGGGGGGGAGCAGGGGAGCACGGCAGAATCAGCTCGAACTTTCATGATATAATATTAGATGAATGGTTCAACATCTCTCTTCTATCAGCCAAGACATCAACTTGGATTTTCAAACAGCATGATCCTCAAGACTGCTACTACTGCTACTGGCATTCCTTTTTGCTGAAGCATGATGTGTTTCAACTGCTTGGGGTCCATCACCTCAAGACTAAGGTGCACCGGTCACCCTGGGATGCCCACTGTCCTCTCCACGCTTCATGGGCGTGTCCTCTCCGGTCCTGCTCTCGGAGGCTACGAGGCTTATGTGGCCTCGGAGAAGTCCAAGGTGATCCAGATAGCCAAGCCGCTGCAGCAGCTCGGTGGTTCCTGTTGGCTCCGTGACAACCGTGGGAACCGGCGGAACCTGCGACCATGTGGGGCGAGTCGGCGAGAGTGACTGGGAAGTGGAGCCGGCTTTGCTGCTTTTTTCTCACCGCAGGAAGTACTACATACGGTTTCCAAGACAAACTCTGGTGAAGTGGGGTGTCCATAGAAACATGTGACCTGACTAGATCAACTAAACTGAAATCCTGCAAGGCATGTTTTTTTCATCTCAACCAGAAAAAGGTTTGCAGGTCCAGAGGCCATTTGTTTCTGAAGAAACGCAAAAAGCACCGCCGGATAGAGCTCTAGGCATTGGTCGGTTGGGTAGACTCCCATCCATGAGGATCCGATGCTGAGGATCCGCAGCATGTGCTGGACCTTTGGACTGGCCCTGCTGCCTTTGGCAGGAGGCCTGATTTTTGGTGCCTGGGCAAGCCACAGGAACCAGACGCTATAGCCATCCGTTTTTGGGAGGCATCCCCCTTGGCATGGCGACAGTGCCTAGCCACTCAGTTTGGTGCCGCACTCCAAATTTCAGATCACTTCCATATTTGCAGGGTTTGTGGGGCATCTATGAGGAGCGAGACTAAGATGTGGCAGCATGTTGGCCTGCACTCTTCCTATCGGTCCTTTTCTTAGCCAGATCCGCTCCTGCATTAGCTGAAATGGATAGACTTAGGCAAGTGATGTTGGCCTGCTCCTCTAACCCTTGTGCCATGTCATACCCTTCAGGCCCTTCAACGGCCGCATTTTCTCCGCATTCTCTCAACGGCCGTATTTTCAACGGCCGCATACAGAAGCATACAGATAGCAGGGCCAAGGGAGGACTTGGCTTTGGTCATCTAGTTATATATGTACGGCTTGACATTCTGATCATTACTTTGACCATGATCTCTTAATGTACCTCAATTTCATCTGAGAACGAATTGCTTTTGATAGGGCTTTTTTAAAGGGACGAAATGGCTCATTGTCAGTCCTCCGTTTCCGTAGTCAGAGGCCTGACGACTGACTCGACGCCTGACTGACGCTCCCAGGTGGCTTGGGACGATGGCAGAATTGGGACTTAAGCTCCTCAGCGCAGTCGGTACCAGAGCCCCTGTGACGATCTCGCAGAAGGTGAAGATGGGTGAAGATGGCGATCTCGCGGTCGAAAAAACGCCACAGGTCAGGTCAAGCAGTGGAACGCCATCCTATCAAGATGGGTCAAGTTATACAAGTACATATAACGCTTGGGCTCCAAACCCTTTCGGGTGCATGGTCTGGCATAACCCACAAGACCTGATGGAAATCAGAGAACAATGGCCTTCAGAGCCAGGAGGCATCATGAGGAATCAGGTATCCGGAACAACCCATGGGCTTCGCCGAGGATTGGGCGTGATCTTCATCGCTTTGGCCTTGCTGGCCAGCGCCAACACCCATCACGTGATGCGACAGGCCTCCAACTACATGGGGCTGGTGGCCTGATGCAGTGGGAGTGTATTTTGGTGGTCTATGCCCTTCAAAAGAGGGGAGAGTGGATGAATCTTATTATTGAGCTAGAACAGTGATTATATATATCTATATGTCAAATCCATTTCAAGTTCACATAATAGAGTGATTACATTTTTTCTAGGGGCTTGTTTTCGAGAGAAAACCCAAATCGACGATCCTGTTTCCATCACAGCAAGACCACCCGAGACTTCCAAGGCTGTCTCTGCTTGCTTGGCGGTGTCTTGGATACCTTTGCCCACGGTCCGTTTCATTTGGGTGCTTCCTCCGGCTGTCCGCGTGCCTAGACGACATGGGCAGGGCACTCAAGCGCGTGCAACTGATGGAGCTTAGCGTGATCAGAGAGCCAAGGATACATATCTGACCGACTTACACGATCAACCCTGAAAATCCAAAACTCCTGGATGTCGATTGCACCAAGTTGTTAATGATCTTAATGGAAAGCCATGGAAAGTACTTTGAAACAACGTGAATCTAAGTCTATGCTTCTCTCTGTCAGCGCTTTTAGACGTGTTCAATCGGTTTCGGAGAAGCCAGTGATCTGCCGCTTCCTTCCTTCTTAGATTCCACCATTTTGGAGAACAGTGCTCTACGACGTTTTCTGGATTTGGGGTTTTCCCTACGCATATTTGTTGGCTTTCATTGTAGTCAGTTTGCCTAATTTTTTGTGTGTGTTGTCTGTTGTTTGTTCATGCTTGTTCAATATATGTGACTTCTCAAGTGCCTGCTATAGTCTGTGGATCTTTGCAATTTCTTGCATTTTTAGGAGTCTTAGATTTGCAGTAGAAGGTAGAAAGCCAGAGCTTTGAGAGAGAATTGGGCAACCAACTGAAGTCTTAAATGTTCCTGAAAGATGTGTTTGTTCTCAATATTGGAGGTAATTTACGGCAATTGTGTGTGTGGCACATTCAGCATGGTCCAGTATGGTAAAGAAGGAATTTGATACAAAAGGTTTCTTTCAAAATTTCTGGAAGCTGTCGGCGGACTGACCCTCTTTCTGCAATCAGTCACATGCAAGTCACATGTTATGGAAGCATCGAAAACCACAAGCACCAGGGAAATGTTCTACTTGTTCCACACTTAGGTCACACTATTGCTTTGCGGAGTCCAAAGGACCTCACCTAAATACAACTAACGAGGAGAACCTCCGTATGTGATGCGTTCACCTGCTATAGTGTTGCTAGTAGCGATGCCCTTATTACTACTAGGATGGGGTTCACCACCTGAGGTCATTTACAACGTTGCCCTTGTTCCTAGTAGCTTATTGTTTCTACTAGCTTCTTGTTACTACTAGTAAGGCACTTGTTACTAGAAGCGATGCACTTGTTACTAGTAGCGATGGGTTCACCACCTGAGGTCATTTACAACGTTTTGCTTTGGCTTTGCGTCTTGGCCTTCTTCCTGCTGGCCGAAGTGGACCGCGCGCGCAGCGAGGACATTGCGCCGCTCGGAGCAAGCCCGCGAGGACGTAGGAAGACGGCAGGAAGACGGGTCTCTCAGTGGGTTGAAGCGGAGTGGGAAGTGGCACAGTCCAAAGAAGCCATAGGGTAGTCCACTTCAAAATGACCACTGCGCTGTTTATGGTTGAATGAACCAGATGTGGCGCCATAGACCGTCCAACTGAGATTGGTCGACCAACTAAAAGATCTAAAAGGTTGTCCGCTTGGTCGCCAGAATCTCGTAGCCCAAAACCTCCCAGGGATTCAACCAAAAAGTAATGCGCATACACCTTGACTTTTCCGCTGATCATCATCATCATCATCATCATCGCACTGTCCCTTGCAAAGATGGGAACATTCTATTATATGTTTGTCATACATGTCCCGCTGAGTAGGCCCAGCTGCATCCCATTTGTAACCACTTTTTGCAACATGGACGTAGACGACGTAATTAGACGGGTCCGAATTCAGATGAACAATCCCCACAAGCAAGCCTGTGGTATTTAGGAACAAGAAGCTACTAGAAACAAAAGGCATTGCTACTAGAAGCAAGGACGCCACTAGTAGCTCCTGGCATTACTACTAGTAACAAGAAGCTACTAGTAACAAAATATCCTGAAAAAGAACTGAAAGGACTGCCAAGTAGGATTGCCGAAAGGTGGACATCTTGAGTCTTGAGGCGTTCTTTTCGGTCGGCCGTGTTTCACAAGTTCAACACGTGTAAATTGAAAGCAACCTGAGAGGAGTTATAGTAACGAACTTACGAACCAATTAAAGTGTGTAGTTGTTCAATGCGTATGTGGCACAGACACACGATGCATGAAAGTTTCTTCTGCCTTGTTTCTACAACAGGGTGGTTTGAGGGGTCGGTCAAGCATTTGTACACCTTGGTTGAATCAGATGATTCAACCACCGTGGGATCCCTTCCAAAGGCTCTTTGCAGCGCAGAATGTCAAATCTGACTTTGTAACACTCTGAAGTCACTTGGGACACATTCTTGTTGGAATACCCTACTACAAAAGCAACACAAAGTGAAACACACACATATATATATATATATAGTATATAGTTAAACCACTCTTGTTTCAATGTCTTTCCCCGATGTGGCCCTGCTCTAGCTGCACCCCCTCCCCCGACGGACGGTGCAGAACCTCAGTCGTCCGGTCGTCGGATCCCCAGGTGCGAAGGCCAGAAGTTGCGGAAGGGCTACCGAGGATCCATTTGCCAGGCGTCATGTTCGGAGGCAGCAGACAAGAGAAGAATTTGGGATGAAGCTTGGCGGTTTTTTTGGATGGAAGTAAAGTTGACACAGGATTAGCATGACGTGTGTTGCAGCTGGTTCAGACAAAGATAACGAGTGACTTAAGATGTCTGACTTGTTGGAGTCACAGTAAATCTGTTTGCTATTTTAGCCTTCAAACATCTCCAAAGACCGACTTGGTTGGGGAATGACATGCATTCGATTGGCAATGTGTCAATGGTAAACAAGTGTGTTGTGCCGAAATCACAACGAAGCCGTGATTCTTACTCATCGATCTGTTTGTTTTGTTTGCACTTGGGGAAGGGAAAATGGAATCTTGTTCAGGTAATTAATTTTGTTCCAATTGGCTTATTGGCTCTACAAGCGGGTGCAGGGGTGTCATTGTTATCGGATTTGCTCATGAACATGACCACCAAAAATTAGTTTTCGCCTTAGACCGCTGACCCCTCACCACTGCGCGGCATCCCAGGAGATTGGAAACAACGTGCACCAGGTCGATCACGCCATCAACGTCTTGATCTCTGCAGGCCTGAGCTCCCCTGCGCTGCGCGCCTGTGCCGAGAAGGGCGTGGAGATCGAGGGCGCCGGTCATGCGGAGTCGGCGATTCCCCTGGTCTTCCTGGGACCGCAGCAGCTCGGAGAAATGAGCCGAACGGAACGGATGCGTTCCAGGAAGGTCTTTTCGACCCAGAGACCTATCAGAGAGTACACTAGATACATCTAGATACCGCTAGATACCTGGCATCTCAAGTTTCACAAGCACCTTTGGCAGCTTCCATATCTTTGGCAAAGGGTCAACACCTCATTCTGCCTTAGGCGAAAGGATCGTCCAAGTTGGCAAACAAAACACATACAGAGTGCCCTTCTGAGGCTGCTGGTGGGCTTAAGCCAAGTGTCCTGGCTGCAATGGCCAAGCCTGTAGAGCGACATGCGATTCGATGTGTAGCATTAGGTATCCGATTCGACCTTCTGAGATCAGGGTCAGGAACAAGCTTGCATTCACTGTTACAGCTGCAGACCTTCTAAAGCAGTTGAATGAACAGCAAGAGTCCTGTTGGTTTATCTTCTCTCTTTTGCCCATTCTTGAGTGAAGAGTGGTGGCTTGAACGTGACTTCCAACAAGAAGCATTGTAATGAAGGGGCTGTGGGGCTGTCTTTTTCTTCCTCTTGACTTGATTGAGTTTTGTTGATTATCACAGCTGATTATCACTTCTCAGTGGTTTCTTTGTGGTATGCACACGTCGACATTCGGAGTTCAAAAAAAAACAGCCTGACTGACTCCCTGCGTAGCAGCGCGCAAAGCGCGGTGTGAGCGGGCGATGGTGTTCTTGGAAGGACGTGTTATTTTTTTGTAGCCCAATGCCAATGCCTGCAAGGTCATCATTATATATCTGAACGGACAGAACACGGCGGACCCCGGTTTGGTCTTGGAAGCATTGGCAGACGCTTGGATTTCTGCTATGGAATGGCGGGCCCTGCGTGGGCTGGATTTGCTTGAACTTCCCAGAGTTCCAACTACTCGTACATTGGTATCTGGCGTTTACATATAACTATATATACCCATTATACATATTATACTATACATATAAACTTCATATACGTACTATATTTTTACATATATATATATAGATAACATCTTCAATGATTCCTCCCACGTACCAGTTGGCTTGTCAGCCTTTGAGGAGGCGCCTCTGTTGACATACGTGGATAGCTCGGGCCCAGGTCGTCGCACGCATTGCCTTCATCATCCTCATTTGCAAAAGTGCACCAGATGAGACCCTTGGCTGTTGGCAAATTGGGTTGGTTCGAGAGGATTTTGGTATGTTTTGGTTTGATAGTTGATGTATTAAATTACGCAATATTGTTGGTTCGAGGGTTAGCTGGCCCTCGAACAAGGGCAAACCTACAGTAGAGTCAATAGTGGTTTGCCCTCAAACAAGGCGGAGCAACGGTTCCTCTTGATTAGCAAGTCAGACCATACAACAAAGACCCACATCTCACTTGGTCTCACCTGTCACTTCTGGCCCTTCGGCCCTTCGAACTGGATGCCAGAATCTACGTGCTCGCGGGGGTTGGGCTGGATCGCCCCTTCAATGATGGATCAGCTTAAAGGATCACGTGGTCCAAAAGCTATTTGAAGAAATCAAGGCCTTTGAAAGACCCTTATAGCTATGGGTCATGTCACACTGTACTCCTTGATGCTTGATGCTGTTGGTGCTTTTTTGTGATTTTACCAGATAAACATTTAACCTTTTTGTTGGGAGAGGTTTCCCCACTAAACAAGAGCAGGTAGAATCTAGAAAAAGGATGAAAAAGGTTAACCTCTATTTTTTCAAGGTAAAACGCTTTGGGAGTAAGGCTGAGTAAGGAATCTTTCGTTGAGTATACCAACCACCTACCACCTGTATAGCCCCCCAGCGTCGTCCACGGCATCGACCAAGGAGATGCTTCATGTTCAAGGTCATCACCAAGCCACTGAGCCAATTCAGTGGATGGACCTCGCCGGCGCCGATGTTTGCGGATTCGGGGATTTGGGTGTTTGAAACGACCAGATATATATATATATACATATATATTATATAGATATGTATACATATGATCAGATGTAGCACCAGTTACATGTACATGATATAGCTTGTATAGATGTATGTTTCACTGCAGCCGTTTGTGGTTTACTTTTGTGTTCATTTCGATACCAGAGCTCAGTCAAGCGTGAGCTAAAAGTGGGCCTAAGCTTCTACTCCAACCTTTGGGACAGTGACTTGGGGTCACAGAGTTTAAGAGCCTAAATTCTCCGTTCATGGTAGCGGAGCCGCGGTTCTAAGACCCGGCTACCGTCTGCGAATCAAAGGTTGCCGAGCCGCATCGGCTCTGGCACCGGAGATTCACAAAACAAGCATCACTTGCAGGAAAGCCGGATTGCTTCAATCCCTGGCTAGCAAGTCAACATGGCGCAACAGCCAGGAGCACAGGCACCACAAGCCACAGACATGGCACAACAATTTGCACAGATGATGCAAGCCCTAGCACAGGGGCAGAGCCAATTGCAACGAGCAATGGCAGAAGCATATACACAACAAACGGCAATCACAAGGAACATAGCCACTAGCGTAGAAGTAAGAGACAGATCAGAGTTGAAAGGCATTCCAAAGCCTGACAAGTTCAGCGGACACACAGGTACCTGGGATTCATGGTACTTCAAGTTCAAGACTTGGATTGAGACAAGTCACAAGAATGCAGGAAAGTGCATTCAGCTCCTCGAAGAGCATCAAGACACAGAGATCAATGAGACATCTCTGGAAGATGATTATCCTGAAGGAGCCGAGCTTGTTTCAGCTCAGGCCCGACAGGCTCTGATCTCACTATGTGAGGGAGAAGCCCTCGAGATTGTCAAGAATACCTCCAGAGGTCAGCACTTTGGCCTAGAGGCATTGAGACGATTGATCACCAAGTATGATCCACAGAACCCACAAGCAAACTCAGCTTTGCTGAAGAAGGTCCTGCACCCACAACAGTGTGCATTGGACAAGCTCAGAGAGAGCATAGAAGCCTGGGAAAACATCAGGCGAAAGTATGAAGAGCGGAAGAAGAAAGCTCTTGATGATGACATCGCAAGAAGTTGTCTTCAGCAGATGTGTCCAGCCAAACTTCAAGATCACCTTGACCTCCAGAGTTCGAGACTCACTGACTATGCCATCATGAAGTCAGAGATTTTGGCCTACCTCGAGAACATCGAGAGCCGAAAAGAAGCAAAGACTGGATCAGCACCAATGGATGTTGATGCACTAGCCGCAGCTGCCAGCCAGATGCAAGCTTCACTTGCAAGTCTGGCTAAAGCCAAAGGAAAAGGCAAAGGTGGCTCAAAAGGCGGCAAAGGAAAAGGAAAGAGTCAAGATGGAGGCAAGGGAAACGACAAAGGTAAACAGAAGGGAAAAGGTTCTTCATGGTCCAATCCCTCGTCATGGAACAACTCATGGAACAAGAACGATTGGTATAAGAATGATTGGAACAAGAGTAGTTGGTACAACCAAAACTCCAAGGGTAAAGGCAAAGGTGGCAAAGGCAAAGACTCTAAAGGTAAAGGCAAGAGTAAAAGTAAGAAGGTAGCTTCAGTTGAGGAATCTGAAACCTCTATGGCTCAAGAGCATCAACCCGAGCCTGAGTATTCCGCTGACATCGCCACCCTCTTTGCCATCGATATGGAGAAAGCAGCACCTGCCGCAATTTCTCGTGGAGCAGCCAAGGCAAAAGCCGAGACTGAAGTCAAGGCTATGCCAAAGAAGCCAGGAGCTGGAAAAGGTCGTCCTGGAATTGCAGCTGCTGGGATTGCAGTCATGAACCAAGCAATCCAAGAGACCATGCAGTCCAATCGCGAGCTGTATGAGAAGAAGTCTGAGACAATCCAGAAGGCCATCGAAGAGGCCGAAGCCAAAGGCAAAGCAGCCAATGACGCCATCTTGGAACAACAGGCCGAGATGAAGAGGCTGAAAGAACAGTATGAAGAAAAGGAGAGAGAAGCCAAGATCTTGCTGAAGAGACCAACTCCTCGCCGCGCCGCTTCGGTTCCGGCGGAGTCGCCAAGGCTCTCAGCTGATTTGGCATCAGGTATGGATCCAAGATTGGCCAAGAAGAAAGAGAAGAGCCGTCAGCGCGCCGAGCAGCATCGCGTTGAGAAGGCCCAGGATCGTTTCGAATCCTGGCGCGACTATGAGGCCAATTACCCTGAGGAGCTCGATTACTATGAGATCGCTCGTGCCAAGGGTACTGGTCGACTTCAAGCTTGGGATGATGAAGATGATGAAGGAAAATTTGATGAAGCCCCTCAGCCTCGAGGTCGAGAAAAGGCCCAGAGGCATCGTGGCTACAAGAAGCCAGGAAAGGCAAAGAAGCCTGAACAGCCAAAAGAGAAGGAGCCCAAGATTGAGGATCTCTCCACTCAAGAACTGGCAGAGATGAAGCGGGAAAGCCAGACATGGACGGCTACTAGCCATCCAGCCCGCAGTGTCATCGACAAGGCGCTCACTGCAGCTGGGTTCAACCCAGAGGACTATGTTGTGATGAAGCGCGTCGAAAGCCAAGGCGAAGGAGCAACAAGCGCACCATCCTTCGCAGCTCCAGTCATGGAGAACATCAATCCCCTTGATGTGACTGAGATCGAGGGACTCGAAGAAGAAGAAGAGTTTGAAGGTGAAGTTGAAGAGGATGAGAATGGCACTGAGCCAGCTGACGAGGAGTCAGATGGACAAGAAGAAGAAAAAGAGAAAGATACCGTGCCATGGCTCGACCACATGTTCCAAGAGCGCATCCTCAGCTATGATGAATGGGTAGCCAAATGCACCCACAAGAACAGAGATGGCAGCAAGAACATGGTCTGCCATGCGTGCAACAAGGCCCTGAGGTGTGACAATGACACCGGCCTATGGAACCACCATATGGCTTTGAATTGTTGCCCGCCAAAAGTCCTCAACCAGTGGGCAAAGGAATGGACGATCAAGCAGAAAGAGATGGGAAAGCGCATCAAGACTGCCAAGGGACAGCAAGGCAGCCCAACTTCAAAAGATGCGCCAAAGCATGTGAAAGATGCCGACATGGATCTGAAGCCCGAAGATGTGGCAAAGCATTTGAAGATGGAAGATCCAAAGCTTGAGACTGTCAAGAAAGGAGGTCCTTTCTACATGACTGCCCATATGCAGAAGATGATGGAAGAGCAGGAGGAGGAAGATGAGGTTGGCCCAAAGACGCCAAAGCAAAGGCGCGTCGCCAAGACACCTCCACCTCCTGAGAAGAAAGGCAAGACCAAGGAGGAGCGCATGGCCTGGTTCAAGAGCTCGACTGAAGAGCACCAGGAGCGATTCCGTGGACCAGGATCCAAGCCAGAGGAATCCAGCGAAGCGCCAAGGCAGACGCTTCGGCTGAAGTCCCGGTCACGATCCCCGGGCAAAAGCCGAGCCGCTTCGGCTCCGGCTGCCTCCGAGAAAGGCCAAGGAAAGGGCAAGCAGAAGAAGGTGCAGTTGACCCGAGCTGTCAACGTGGCCACTCAGGATGCTGCCCGTGAGGCCAAGAAGGGAAAGGGAAAACGATATCCCACTCCCTCAAGCGAGCCTGATGAAGGCGATGACGATCCACTCGCTCTCAAGAGTTTGGAGCTGGCATCCATGGAGACGCCAATGGCTCATCAGGTGACCTTGGATTCAGGAGCCGCGACCTCCTGCATCCCTGTTGAACTGGCCACCGCATTGGGCTACAAGCCTATCCAGCCTGAAGGCACCTGCAAAGTCTACAAGACTGCCTCAGGCGAAGTGGTCAAGGACCTTGGCAAGATCGATGCCATGGTGACCATCGGCATCGGCCAGAACTCCCTCAATGGACGTTGCTGTTTCCGGGTGATGGCGGTTGCAAAACCGCTGCTCTCCGCTGGGGCCCTTATGAGCAAGGGCTGGTGCATTCAGATGCACGGATCTGGTGGACAGATCTCCCGAGACGGAACTAAGATTCCGATCTCGTTCAGCAACGGCGTCTGTTCTGTGCCGCTTGCATTCCACCCTTTCGTCCGGCACCGCAATGGGTAAGCCCGGTGGAGCAGGCCGAAGAGGCCGAGCAAGGCGACGAAGTGCCGCCTGAGCTCCAAATCCATGCTCCCATTCGCCCGACGCGAAAAGAGTTTGAAGAGCATGCTGTTTCACACTTCCCTTTTAGGTCTTGGTGTGAAGCCTGTGTAAGGGGAAAAGCTAAGGCAAACCCTCACAGGAAGATAGACCACACCGATGAGACAACCCCAGTAGTGACTGTAGACTACTGTTTCATGAATTCACGAACTGATGATGTAGTTTTGGACGAGAAGACTCATGCACCAATTCTTGTTGTCAGAGATCGATGGACGAAGCATCTTTTTGCTCATGTGTTGCCCTACAAAGGTGTGACAAAAGGTCCATACGGATCCAAAGTACTTTTGAACGACATCAAGAAACTGGGATACTCCAAACTGATCATTCGACATGATCCTGAACCTGCCCTCACCTCTGTTGTTGAGGCAGTAAAGAATGGGTTTGAAGGAACCCTGATCATCGAGAAGAGCCCGAAAGGAGTCAAAGAATCCAAGGGAGAGATTGAACGAGCAGTTCAAACCTTGGAAGGACAAGCCAGGACTCTTCGAGCCGCGATCGAGTCAAACTATGGTGAGAAACTTCCTGACGATTCACCTGTTTTGACTTGGTTAGTTGAACACGCATCCACAGTCTACAATCTGTTTTTCCGATCCACCGAACTTCAAGACGGAAAGACTCCGTATTCACGACTCCGTGGACGTGAATGGAAAGTAGCAATTCCACCATTTGGTGAGGCCATCGAATACCTCAAGAGAGGCCACAAGTTCGAGGCCCAATGGACCAAAGGAATTTTTCTAGGAGTGAAAGACACCACCACAGAGAAGATAGTAGGAAACGCCTGTGGAGTTTTCACAGTGCAATCCATTCGAAGAAAGCCAGAAGAAGATCGATATGATTCAGAGTTGCTGAAATCGATCACTGGAATTCCCTGGGATCCTCAAGCAATTCGCGAAGAACCAGCGATTGCAGCCCCAAGGGAACCAGTCATTGCCAGTCCAAGTGGTGAAGCTTTGGTGCAACCACCGGCAATGGATGACAAGAAAAGAAAGCTGAGAAGGCTTTACATCACCAAGAAAGACCTGGAAAAGTTTGGGTATACTGCAGGTTGCCCAGCTTGTGATGCCACACAGATTGGCAAGAGATCTACAGGCATCCATCACACCAACAGGTGTCGAGACAGACTTGAAGAGAGCATCAGAGGAGAAGAAGAAGAGAACCCAAGAGTAGCAAGACATGAAAGCCGAGTTGGAGAGGCAATCACTGGCATGCCACAACCCGTCAGTGGCAAGAGACCTCAAATCCTTCATGGATATGAAAGCAAAAGACCATCGGGAGTTCCCGATTCGTGTCGAGTGTTCGCACGACTTGACGTCGAAGCTTACTGTTTTCAAACCACCATGCCAGGAGGACCTGATTGGTCCACCGTCTGGCACCGAGTCACAAGAAACCATACAAACAATGCAATCATTGAGAGTGGAGTCATGACAACAGACCTTCCACCAGAGATACTCAATGGAGCATTACCACACAAGATGGACATTGTGACAGAACTTTGGTACGAACCAGAAGCAGCACCACCAACACCAGGCACAGCATCAGCTTCAGCATCAGGTATTCGCAGACCACGCGAACCTGAACCACATGGAGAAAAGAGAGAACACGAAGAACAACATGAACCAGCAGGATCACCTACAGCAAAAGCCAGAGTAGATAGAGACAAGGAGAGAAAGGCAGAAAGCGAACATGAAGATGAAGCCGAGAGAACAAGAGACATCCGGAGCATCGAGATGGCTCTAGAAAGCCTAATCCTAGAAGACAGAGAGAGAGTGCTATCTAGCATCGACCCAGAGAAACCAGTGTGTGAAGAGAAGATCCCACTGCCAGAAGAAATGGCAGAAGAGGCAAAAGACTGGTGGTACTATGACGACATCAGTGGAAAAGAGCTGCTACCTGAGAAGGTAGAGAAAGCCAGAAAAGATGAAATCGACATTGTCGAATCAATGGGAGTTTGGGAAAAGATCCCAAGAAGCAAAGTTCCAAAAGGAACCAAAATCATTGGAACTCGATGGGTAGATGTGAACAAGCAAGATGAAACCAATCCTCTCTACAGAAGTCGATTGGTAGCGCAAGAGATCAAAAGAGGCTCAGGTTTTGACGATTTTTTCGCAGCTATGCCGAGCCTTGCAGCTTTGAAGCTACTGCTAACCATTGCAGTCAGCGACAGCCTTCCATTGGAGAAAGGCGAAAAGCGAAAGACAAAGCAATCTTTCCTAGGATTTTTGGATGTGAAGAGAGCTCATTTCTACTCCAAAGCAACAAGAGAACTCTATGTTGAAATTCCATCAGAAGGCAAGAAACCAGAAGATGGAGATGTGGTAGGAAGATTGGTCAGAAGCCTTTACGGCACCAGAGACGCACCCATGAATTGGGAGCTGACCATTGCAGAGTTTATGAAGAAGCTAGGATTTGTTCAAGGCAAGTCCAACCCATGCATCTACTACCATGCATCCAGAGAACTTCGAACAGAAGTGCATGGAGACGATTTCACGACAGTTGGAAGTTTTGATGACATCAAATGGTTTCACACTTCAGCAGCCAAAGAATGGCAAGTTGTGGAACGAGGCATTCTCGGTCCACCAGGTTCACCAAAGGCAAGCCAACAGATCAGAGTGCTGAATCGCATCATCACCTGGTCAAATGAAGGCATTTGGTGGGAACCAGATCCAAGACATGCAGAGTTGATCATTAAGTGGTTAGGCACTGGTCAACCAGGCAAGGTCAAAACACCTTTGGCCAAGCCAAGTCAAGAGGAACTCCAACATGAAGAAGTTCCGCTGAGTGCCGAAGATGCAACGATGTATAGATCTATTGCTATGAGAGCCGCGTATTTGGCACAGGATCGACCTGATCTGCAAACTGCAACGCGCTCATTGGCACAAGGTCTACAGAACCCAACATCGAGGCACTGGAATATGCTGAAACGATTGGCTCGATATGTCAGGTATCGACCAAGAGTTGCACAGTTGTTTCCAAACCAAAGCACCTGCAACCCCTTCAACATGTGGTCAGACGCCGACCATGCAGGTTGCATAAGGACACGAAAGAGTGTGTCAGGAGGCGTGCTCATGGCCAACAAATGCTGTCTCACAACATACAGCAAAGGCCAAGGAGTTGTCTCCCTGAGCAGTGGCGAATCCGAGTACTACGGACTTGTTTCCGGAGCATGTCAAATGCTTGGAATCGCATCAACAGCAAGAGACTGGGGATTGTTTCCCAGCAAAGAGGTGACAATGGACGCTTCCGCTGGCATCGCCATGGGAAACCGTCGAGGTTTGGGACGAGCTAAACATGTTGACACTCAATACCATTGGGTACAAGAGCGCACAGCAAAGAAAGAGTTTCGTCTCAAGAAAGAAGGCACCGACCGAATGTTGGCCGATGTGCTAACAAAAGCTGTCACCGAGGAGAAAATGACAACAGCCATGAAAGGCATGAACTTCCACTACTTGGAAGGTGAGCATGAACTGACTTTGAAAGCGTGAACGGCTTGAGCTAGAGTAGGTACATCTTGGTCTTGAAGAGGTACTGAAGGGCTACGAGCTAATTCACCGAAGTGCTAATCCTGACTCGCTTAACTTCTGGGAGATGTTAAACTCGGGAGGCGTGATCAGATGTAGCACCAGTTACATGTACATGATATAGCTTGTATAGATGTATGTTTCACTGCAGCCGTTTGTGGTTTACTTTTGTGTTCATTTCGATACCAGAGCTCAGTCAAGCGTGAGCTAAAAGTGGGCCTAAGCTTCTACTCCAACCTTTGGGACAGTGACTTGGGGTCACAGAGTTTAAGAGCCTAAATTCTCCGTTCAACATATCATTATAAAGATAGTACAGATTCTTGGGCTTTGGGGATCAAAGAACATCACTGGAACAGATTCTTGGGCTTTGGGGATCAGAGAACATCACGGGAAAATATCGGTGTGGTGTACAAAGGCCTGGCAGCATGAACGGACCCATGCTGCTGAGTAGGCTGAGCATTGTCTATCTTCCAAGGGACATCTTTTGGCTCACACTTGTAAACCGCTACATAAGCCTGTCGATCATCCACAGTTCGATTGCCACTGCCCCCTAAAACAAAGCGCAGATGGTTTTCTGGGTCAGAGCTTCTCTAGGCCCTCTAGGCGGGGTTTTCAGACCGACGTAGAAAGAGACTACACTCGCCAAGAAATTGCCATTCGACATTGGACATAGGCATGCTGCATGAACCACAAAGTTTGCTGTGCGATATGAAGGCTGTGAACCGAACCTTTCGCCCAATATTGTGCGCTGGGTTTCGGCCCCGATGGTGGTGCGCTCACACAAGATGTGTTTTTTCTCTCCACATTGCTGCAGTGTAAGGTCATGCCTTGTCGGTGATCCAAGAGCTGCAAGATCACCATACACCCCTTTGATTTGCCACACGCCCCTTCAATCTCCTCGAGTGGTTCGCATGTTCCCCTCAAGTATCATGGAACATCTCCAAGCATCATGGAACATCTCCAGCTAGCTGACTGAAAAAAAAACGCATGCTCGCTCGTGCCACTGGCATCGTTGGTGCTCAGATTGGTGACCGTGATTTTCTTCCCCTCGATCTTCACCATCGTGGTTGTGGTTGAACTGGGGCATCCAGGAGCTGCTGAGGTGGTCGGCCTGGTCACCTTCATGTGCCCTCTGGCGTTTTCGGCGTTTTCGTTGAGGTCGGCACGGGGCAAAAAAAAAGTACGAGCCACGCACGCAGGGAGGAATGCGTCTAAATGATGGAAGGAATGATCATGCATGGTTTGGGGACATATATTAATTATGATGTAATATTCCGTTGATGTATAGGTGCATAATTATATAATCATGCATCAGGGAATTGTTCATTGTTCTTACTTCCTTTGCTTAGTAAGCTATTCCCCTTTGTGTGGAAGTGGATACGGGAGCGCCTCGCCGAGCGCCCTTGTTCGAAGAATGACTCCCCAAATCAGAGACCAACCTGAGACTGAAACAGATTTATGGAACAAAAAACACAAACATAAGATACTAGGATTGTTGGAGGGGCCATACATGTTTTAAATATGTGCACATAGAAGGCAGCTGTTGATGCTTAGAGCGATTCTAAGCCAGCGTTGTGCTTTCGGCAGAACTCCCGGCCCACAGCAACAATGACTCCTTGGCACGTACACATCAAACAAGTTTTTGGATAAGTTCCTGTTTGGGTGCGCAATGTTCTTAGAATTGTGTCCATCCTATTTTTTCCTAGCTACTGTAGTTTTTTTGAATATTGTATGAATATGTTAAGTACTTTTTTTGAAACATATTGTGCCTTCCTTTATGAGAGTGTTGGGATGCTGGAAACCTGTCCCCCCAACCCCCCGACCTGGACTAACGCGACCAACCGTCCCGGGGGAGGACAACCGGTTCACGCTTCGTCACCGACCCGTCCGTCCGTCTCAGGTTTTAACCTGTCCTTGATCCTGGCGCTGATCTTTGGTTTGCTGGGCATCCAAAAGACGCTGCAGCTTCCCGGCGGCCCCTGTTTGCTGCAGATGGTCTTTTGGCACGCCTCATCCTGGGGCTGTGCCAAGAGGCGGGTAGCAGAGGGTCGAGAGAGAATCCTGGTCGTTCAAGGCGACTCGTTCTTGTGAACACCTGCCTGCCATCCTATTTCAGAACCACAGATAAGGGATGGAGAGCTGTTATATACACCATGAACAGCTGTGACATAAGGCCTATAATGAGTGTCCATGCCATGCTCAGTCGACGGGCCAGGAATCTCGACTCCAGCTCTGATGAGGAGACAGACTGACTCTGATGAGGAGACCAGTTGACCTTTTGTGTTCACCCTGTGTGGGCAGTTTAGTACGGGAGAACTCCCTAGTTTAGTGGACTGGAGAATAGATTGGACCACCAACCAGTTTCTAAACTTGCCAGGTTTAAACCCAGGAGCGACAGAATATGCCGACAACCAGTCCATGTCGATTTCTACCCGGGTCTACCCGGCAAGATGGCGCGAGGATGGCAATAGGAAGCACAAGGTTGTATGGGCATCCAACTGCCGATCCGTTAGCTTTGAATTATCCCTCCCTAATGGCCTTGGCTTTAAAGGGAAGGATTGGGGTTGAGCTGCTTGAGCTTTGAACAGATGCTGAGCTCCAAACGCAAAGACTTTGGAGGTCAGACAGTGGGCTGCGGCTCAAGGCATCCACCGTGTCCGTCGGACGTGTCCACCGTTCATACAACATTGGGGGTAGTAGTTGGTCTCCTTCCCGTCAGTTCCACTGATCTGTTTGACCTTTCTTGCCCAAATGTGAGGATCTTGACACCCCTTATTGTCCCCTTACATACCATGCAGTCATATATAACCCGGGATCGGGGTCTGAGGTCCAGAAATTCCTGGCTTGTGAGTTCTCACCTTCCTACACATTTTGACACCAGACTGTTGAAAGGATGTCTCCAGAAGGAGATGAGTCTCAAAGAGTCTCAAAGGCAGGACCAGCAACAACAGAACAACTGACCATCTCGTCTTGTTTTGCAAGAATGGAGAAAAACATATGGCCGAGAGCTCTCGGTTCTTACAAAGCTCCCCTCGATGGACGTTGGAAGCTCTAAAGCCATAGACTCCCAGACTCCCATTTTTGACCAGTTGTGGAGCGCACGGTCGCACTCGTTGGATGTATGTCAGATCCCATGCAGACAAGCTGCAGGGTGTCGATCTGCTTCGCTTCGCTGAAGCGTTCTGGGTCTTCTTCGTGTCACGGGGATCCAGGAAGCTGAGGCGAGAGGCAAAAGAGTGATTGGAGTCCGGACCCAGTCCTCCTGCTACTTGTTTTTTTACTGAAAAATACCTTCCAAGCTGTGGATGAGCATCATATTTCAGTACTGCTTAGCTTGGGCGCAGATATGTTCTATTTGAGTATTTCCTCAACTGTTCCTTGTGAGCCTACCCTCCATGGACATGGAAAATGCACCTCCTCCAGCCTTTGTTCTATAACGACGGGTATGTTTACCATCTCTAGTTCATCCTGTCATATGTTGTGCATCTTGATGATTTTTGGTCCCTTTCCTTTGTGAGCTCACCAACGTTTACTCAATGAGTGTATATCCAACAAAGAGTTTAGAAGGAGGGCCGAAAGTTCAGGGAAGAAGGCCGATGGTTTCATTGATCAACAAGACACCAATGAGTATCACAGATAGTTCTTTCCAGAAATACCGCTTCATTGGATCGGGCCGAGCTTAAGTCAGAGGACACCAGATTGTTTGATATCGCATTCTTGCAGGGACTTTGGCGGGCAGAGATGGGTTTGGACTAAAACATACTTCTCCAAGCCGCACGGCACTGTGCAAGGCTTCTCGACTCCTTTGGCTTGGAAGGAGCTGTAGCCACTAGTCACTAGTCACATCTAGCGACCTAGTAAGTATATCAACGACAGAAGGATGGTCCCAGTGCCAGCATCCTTTTGCATTTCTTGGCGGGGCAAAGAAGGGGACAACGAGGCTCAGGGCTTTTTGGTAAACCAGGTATAGAATAGCAACATCCAACTGATCTGTATTATGTGGGCTGAAATATGGCAGAATTTCAGGATCGGATCCTTTTTTATATCAGGGATGTTTCAAGTGGGATTCAACAGGGTATTCTTTTCATCCCGACGTTTGAGATCCACATGCCCGGTCGCTTTGTTCCGCCTGCCAGGCCGGTCGTGGGGACGGGCGAGGTGCTGAACTAGGTACCAGGCCCGCCGGCGGCCAGCACAGAGGGTGAAAACTCCAACTTCATGGAGTCTTCCAAAGAACGGGCGTTCGTTAATATTGGACATGGACAGAAAGCTAGGACTCACATGCAAATGAGTAGAGAAGTTTCAAGTAAATCCCTTGGTCCCTCATGCGAGTAAATCCCTTGGTCGACTGCGGATAGTACACGTTTGAGGTTCCGGTCGAACGGACGTCCGCAGTTGCTGCCTCTTCGATCCGGTTCAACGGTGCCAGGCATGAGCTCCTGAAGGGACACTGCCACCTGCGCAGCATCTGATGCGGCTCACCGCACGGAACTCGTGAGGTTTCCTGGGACAGACCCAACACATAATAAGAATCATGTAACGAAACGCACTTCGAACATGACAGTCCTTTTTGAGACCAGGGACACCATTCAATTCCATCTCTTTCTGTGTTCTCCCCTCTCACTAATATGTCCCTAACTATGTCCCTACAACATCTGCAACTGATGGATTCACCTCAAACTGTCTCAGCCTGAGGAACCGACCAGACTTCTCTAGCTGCCTCTGTTCGGGCTCATCCTACCTTGCCTCATTCGCAATGAACAGGGTATTCCACTCCGTACTCTCTATTACTTGTGTGATACATATATTCCGTTCCAGCCGTGAGAGAGGCTCATCAACTTGAAGAACCAACTGGCTGGCACTCAGACCATTGGGTTTGTTCCTTTTAAGTTACACCTGCAACCCAAGACAACTGTGCCCTGCTCTGAAACCCCATGTCCGATTTACATTCTGAGTGAGATATAGTCTGACCATGTCTGGCCCGATGCCTTTGACCGAGTTTCGGACGAAGAAAAGGGCCTGTAAGAGTCGGTAAACAAATATCACAACTGAATCATCCTCCATTGCTACGGGTAATAGGATATACCGACCCAAATATGTGTTTATGCTTTTTTTGAGGGCGACGCAAAAGTGTTGAAGAATCGATTGAAGTGATGAAATCGTTCTGTTTCATTGCTTCTCATCAAAGCACCTGCTTTCTTTCTGCGGTGCATTCGCACATCAGGGCACTGGAAAGTAAGGTGATTCACTCCCAGCACCACTTAGTGATTCAGCTCATGAGCCACATCTTTCCACAGCCTTGTTCTCCATGCATTCTTAGGGCGCACTTGGACCTCACTGTATGGCCATGCTGCCGGCCAGGGCCGGGCCGCAAAAGCTCGCATGCCGATCCCGGCCCTGCCCTAGCGGTCCCTGTCGATCGCCCCAAAAGGACGACGGTGCGTGCGCCGAGCTCGCGGGGTGGGAGCTCGCGCAACCCGACACCTTGGTTTGACATGTTGAATTGTATGATCCTATGCCCTCCCCTGAAAAAGAGAATGCTCTCCTCAAAGTGCTGATGACAAGTGTCCAGGAACCTCACCTGAACGAGATAGGGACAGCCGCTCCAGCACTCCTTCAGCAAGTGATCTGAACTCTCTGGGTGCCCTACGGTCACAATCTCCGCTCTTTTGCTATGCCTCGATGCCTTATACCCTCACACTTCCATTTTAAGAGCTGCCCAACGGTCGTCACTCGGTGCCACTCAGTGGCTTGGAAGAATAGGTACCTGCCACTGAGACCGCAGGGGCCGAAGAGACCGCAAGGAAACATTCTGGGGAACCAGCGGCTGTACTGCCATGCACAGCCAAACCCATCTTCACGAAGGAAGGAACACAGGCTTTCGAGGCTGCACTTGTCACCTAGTGGCCACCATGCCATCATCCCTGCGCCCCATGATGCCTTCATCCCTGAAGCCCCTGCGTCAGCACCGTGGCTGGTACAGCTTCTTTGTGAGCACAGCGGCTGGGGGTGTCTACACTTTTGGTGCCCTGGCTCCGCCAGTGGGGTTGGTGGAAGTGTGTCATGTGGAGAAGATTTGCAGATTCTTCAATCCTCATCCTTTGGGAGTGGCTCAACATACGGACAATCCATGGAGTCGCACCTGTTGGTGTCTATTTTCTGCAAGCACCTGCATATTTCAATGCCCATGCATCAGGACCTCAAGGAAAACTAAAACAGGTCCAAGAAACAAGGTCTCCGACAACGATCCCGTTAGTCTCGGCCACAATGGTGCAACTGTTTAGTTGTCTCATGTTGTAAAAGCATCAATCTAATTCAATATATAACTTTGGAATTCTATGTGCGGTCCGAACTTGGCTTCAGAAAGCTGGGCTTTCTGAACCAGTAGACCTATGGCATTCATGTCTTCCTTTAGGACCTTTAGGAGCCATGACCCCCTCGAATCCCTCTTGCTTGGAAAAGCAGCCACACATGTCAACATGTGACGCATTTGTTTTTTCTTTTGGTTGTTTCAAAGATGTTTCAACATGTTTCCAGTGCTCTACCTGCCTTTGTACCGAAATCATTTTTTAGTGCTTTGGAACCCCGGAGCTGCATGCCGCCCACATTCGGATTCCTCCGAAACATCACACACCGAGGCTTTGTGATGATGACGCCGCAGGCGCCACAAAGGAAAACCAACAAACACCCTCATGTCGCCTCATCATGTTTGTTGGGGTAAGGATGACTTGACCACAGCAACTGCAAAAAAGGAACATCATCTCGGTGGGATCAGTAGCTTGACACTTGTGATATCCGATGTGAAATGGCTTTACCAAACCAACTACTGTATAACCAACTGCTGAAGAGTTTGCCGCGACCGTCGCTAGTTCATGTACAATGGATACCCTAGTGAGGACCAGTAAGACCTCTATGATCAGTGAGATGGTTTGGCAGTTTTCGACACAAGTCGGGGGTGAACGTGGACGTGGAACCAAGCTGAAGTTAAGGAGGTCCATGTAGGTTCCAGCTACAAAAGAGAGGATGTTGCTTCTGAAGAGAAAAACCATGGACTTTTTTGGGGGTTCTTTTCTTGAGCAGAATCGTTCAGATCAGGAATTGTGTGTTTTTTCTGTATGAATTAATATATGACTCATGATCAACATATGTCAGATGATGGCCTCACGTTTTGTGCTTCCGAGGTGGTCATTTGATCGCTGTCGATTGATAGCTCACGGGTCGTTCAAACGAAGAAAAGCAAGTGCCAATGGCCGCCAGTTGTACATCAACTACAAGCTGCAGTCAGTGGAGCATATGCCGTCGGCTTCTCTCAGATGTAGATGCGTCGGCAAATCACGTTCGGTGCCGGCTGAGACGTGACCCATTCATTGCGTTCGTAGAGTATAGAGAAAGCGTTTACAGGCAAGTGGATCGGTACAGATGCGGCAGTTGGTTCATCTCAACGGTAGGCTTACGACTGAAAACCGCTGGACTTCAGATGGAAAGAGTCTGATCCACTCATATGCAGCAGATGAATTCTTCACACCCCCGATGACATTCAATGCCCATAAGTCTGGACAGACAGATCAAGGCAGACCGAAGTGTCCCAGTAGTCGTGCTCTTGGTGCCAACCTGCCTCTCATTCTCTAAAAGCGGGGGGCTGGAGGCTTGTTCCTCACAGATTGCAACAAAAGATTC